AAAAAAAAGTGGGGCCCTCCGTGGTGGTGCAGTGGGTTAAAGCTCAGCGCTATGAAGCTATCACAGCCACTTCAGCATGAGTTTAATCTCTGTCTAGGGGGTGAAACACATGACAAGGCAGACCTCTCCGGACCCTCCTGCTGCTCCCCTCAGTAGTGTGTTTCAGTCAGTCTGGCTGTTCTGCTCTGCACTCTAGTGAGTCCTCTTATTCCCAACACCTCTGGCCTGTATGTATAAATAAAGAAAAATTAAAAAAAAGTGGAACCATGAAAGTGGACATTAATGTCCATTTCCTCCCTTGAGCATCAGTCTGTCTGTCGGCTGGCAGCTCTCACAGACTTGGACTCACAGTTTTCTTATCCTCAGTCACTTGAGAATAAGCTCCTGAGACAACACTGTCCGGATTCTAACCCCAAAATCATGTCTGGATGACAGGCTGTGGCCTCTTTAATGCCACAGCTCTGTTGACTCTGGGCTTGTCCATCTTAGGGGCAAGTCTGACCTCTGACCACAGGGCAATGTCCTCAGGTCCTGTATCTTCCTGACCCCTAGGTAAGAATTCACATTCTGACACCTCAAAGTGTCCATGTTCTTGGGATTCAATCCACAAACTGATCCTGCAAATCTTTCTGGACTTCTCTTCAGAAACTCACTCATGAAAATGCCATTCTGACTCTGACAGATTCTCTCTCCACTCTCCATCCTTAGAGTGGAAAGTCCACACCATTGCCTGCACATGGTGTTTCCTATGCCACTGGCAGGCCATGGACACTAACTCACTTTTCTTTTCTCTAGGATTAGCTGTGCGTCTGGCTGGAGGGGGTGGGCCCTGCTCAGGGCGAGTGGAAGTGCATTCCAGAGGAGACTGGACTCCAGTGTCTGACTGGAACTTCACATCGCTCACCGCCCAAGTCATCTGTGCAGAGCTGGGGTGTGGCAAGGCTGCGTCTGTCCTGGGGGACGTGCCCCATGGACGGGTCTGGCCTGAGGAGTTCTGGTGTGAAGGGCAGGAGCAGAGGCTCTGGTTCTGCCCCAGGGTGACCTGTCCAGGAGGCACCTGCCACAACCGCGGGACTGTTCGCCTCGTCTGCTCAGGTGAGGCCCAGGCAGGATTCACCCTCCCTATTTACTTTGGGTTAAAAACTTTGGCTGAATCTCTGTCTCTTCCTCCCAGCATACACAGAAGTCCGGCTCATGAACAGCGGCAGCTCTCGCTGTGAGGGGCAGGTGGAGATGCGTGTTTCAGGGCGCTGGATCGCGCTCTGCGCCTCCCACTGGAGTCTGGCCAATGCCCATGTTGTGTGTCGCCAGCTGGGCTGTGGGGTCGCCCTGTCCACACCCAAAGGAGCACACTCTGGGGGAGCAGCTGCCCAGGTCTGGAAAGCCCGATTTCACTGCTCAGGGGCTGAGTCCTCCCTGTGGAAGTGCCCCGTGACTGCCCTGGGCGCTCCTGACTGCAGCCCTGGACACACGGCCTCTGTGACCTGCTCAGGTAAGAGGGGGCTGACTGCACTCGGGGGGCTCGGGTCCCTCAGGTCCCTCAGAGCAGGGTGTGTGAAACCTGGCTTCAGATTAAGGTGGTGGATTATGCAGTACAAGCCTTTGTTGAAATGTTTCCACATGTACTCTTAATGTATGTGTTTTATTGTGAGAAGTACGTTTTAATACCTTTTTTTAAAAACTAATTTTCTTTTGTTTCTAGGTTAATTCTCTATGGTCAAAAACTGTGAAATTTATTACTTTTTTTTTTAAATAAACAATTTATTTGCACATACAGAATGGGGATATGGGCCAGAGAGGTGCAGGGGTGGTTAGAGGATTCACTAGTGACAGAGTGGGGAGCAGAACAGGCAGATCAACAAAATACTCTGCTGAGGGGAGCAGTGGGCGAGAGAGGAGAGGTCTGCTGCACCATGTGGATCACCTCTGAGTTGGGGATTGAATTTGTGCCAAAGTGGCCGTGGCCAGCTTCGCAGTGCTGAGCTGTAACATGCTGCACCACCAAGGAAGGCCGGATTTTTATGACTCTTAAGAACAATGTATTCTGTTTTGAGGTGAAGATTTTGCAAATCATCCCATTCACATATTCCAAGAACCTTTTGTTTTCTGAATACACATTGCTTCAATATATAACCATGGGAAGCAACCATTTTGTTTTTCTTCTTCCAATCACATTTTCTTCATTCCTTAACCGCAGCATCGCGCTGCCTACAAGCGAGTCATGGAGGTGGGTGGAGATGCAAGAGAAGGAAGCGGGGACCTCACGCCTTAGCAGACACCTTGGTAACCATTTTGCGGCTGTGTTTAAACACCAGGATATATGAGATGTCTCATTGTGATAGTGGATTTTTCGTTCATTTCCTTCTTTCAATTATGTATTGAGGAATGTGAAACTTCATAAACACACAGCTGAAATCTTTGACCCTGCCTCTTGTGCTACCTTTGATTTCTCTTGTCGTTTCACCTGGTGCTCTGTCCTTATGTTCTCCTCTGGTCTCTCACTTTACACCTCCTGCCTTCAAGCCTCTGTTGAGGTTTTGAGAGTCACATCTGTAATGTTGAATTGACAAAGGTCTCAAGGGGAAAGATACTCCTGCTCTTTGCTTCTCTGGTTTTATCTGGCTCCAAAATTCTCACTGTCCAGGAAGCTCTGTAATACTTTCAACACTAGTGCTATCTTCACACTTTTCTGAATTTGTTGTCAGTATTTGGCCTAAAAATAGAAATCTTGGTCTTTTGGGGCATAATGTCTACACAGAAAGCATCTCTAAAATAATGATGCCACGACTGTCCTGTTAGAGAGTTCACCTCCCTTCCCCTACGTTATCATGTAGTTTGATTCAGTTTTCTGTTCTTCAACCCCACTAACCCTCTCACCTTGTTGCTCTGCAGGAAACCAGACCCAGGGGTTGCCCCAGTGCACCCACTCCCCGTCTCCATCAGTAGGTTCTACAGGCTCAGAGGAGGGTGCTGCCAGTTGCGCAGGTGAGGGATACTCAGAACCTGGCAATCTGTCTCCTTCTGTGTCAGATGCCCCCTTGACCTGACTCTCTCCTCAGACAGCCCACAGCTCCGCCTGGTGGGCGGAGGCCATCCCTGCGCCGGCAGAGTGGAGATCCTGCACCAGGGCTCCTGGGGCACCGTGTGTGATGACGGTTGGGACCTGCAAGATGCCCATGTGGTGTGCAGACAGCTGGGCTGTGGAGAGGCCCTCAACGCCACGGTCTCTGCTCACTTTGGGTCCGGATCTGGGCCCATCTGGCTGGAAGAGCTGGCATGCACAGGAAACGAGTCCCATGTGTGGAAGTGCCCTTCCTGGGGCTGGGGACACCATGACTGCAGGCACAAGGAGGACGCTGGGGTCATCTGCTCAGGTCTGTGCTGCACATTGTCGTGGGACTGGGGCTTGAGTGTAGCATATGGGGGGAACCCCCTGAATACGGAGTCTGAAAGAGAAGAAAGGAAGGAAGCGTCCTCCAGAGTGTCTGACTCTCTGACACATGTGAGGATTATGTTTTCCTTCCAGTGGCAGCGAAGTGTCTGGTAATTCTCAGCAACATTTTGTGGAATCACCTGTTAATAGTTATCATGTGCAAGCAGGGATCACTTTTCAGTTATCTGTGATACAGAATCTTGAAATCCACTGGACTTGTTTCTACTTGCTGTGACAAATTTCCATATAATTAGTGGTTAAAGCAACTTATATTTATCATCTTTCAGTTTGTAGGTTAGAAGTCCATATGATCTCACCTGGTTAAAATGAAGGTGTGAGCAGGGAGGGCTGCATCACTTCTAAGACCTGGGCAGGAGTTATTCTGCCATTATTCTGCTCCACCCCTCTCACCACATCTGCTTTCCCAGATTCTGTAACTTTGTCAGGAAGCAGCATCCAGTCTTCCTTTCCTGCTGAGTGGGGTGCTCATGGTAACCCGTCTCCCCCTTTCCCTTTCAGAGTTCCCGGCCCTCAGGCTGGTGAGCGAGGACCAGGACTGTGCTGGGTGGCTGGAAGTCTTCTACAACGGGACCTGGGGCGGGGTGTGCAACAGCCCGATGGATCCCATGACCTTGTCTGTGATCTGCAGACAGCTTGGCTGTGGGGACAGCGGGACCCTCAACCCTTTGGTTGGTGCTAGGGAAGGTTCTAGACCCCGATGGGTAGATGGAATCCGGTGTCGCAAGATGGATACCTCTCTCTGGCAGTGTCCATCTGACCCTTGGAAATACAGTTCATGCTCTTCAGTAGAAGAAGCTTCTATCATGTGTGCAGGTGACTGCTGTGTGTGTCTGTCTCCACCCCGTAGGCTGTTGCTAGTGTTGTTTATTTTCAAATCTAGATTATGAGTTTAAGTCTTTAAAATTAAGTTGGATAAATATTTAATCAAATGTTCCCATCCTGTTTCAGAGGAAAGTATAAGGAAACTTGTGCTAACTGCAGCTCATGTGAAAAATACCAGGTTGATTATAGTGAACCTGTGGGAGCACAATAATCCTCTGATCAACTCCTAAGGAATTCTAGTTATTAGGAATAGCTAGTCTATATTGAACGCATGGCTATAAGTCACGACCAAAACCCCATGTTCTGTGTCTCTTATGCTCCTGGATTTTTGCATCAAAATATAGACTCCTGTTCAGTCTGCTGACAGTGTAAACTGTGTCTTGTAGAATCAGATTATATTCCCAGCCAAAAGACAGAACAGAGAGAATATATAATCTCTGTTTTCATGGAGCATAAAACCCCATGTTGAAAACTCTTCTTGGCAGAAATTTCCTTGTCATGAGGATTAGGAAGTGCTTGGAAGTGTGAACATGGCACCAAAGGACAAATCTTTTGGTAGAGACCTGAAGGATGAGTAAGAGTACTGTCAAGGACGAGGTGGGAAGATTATCATGGCTAGTGTGAATACTCTGAGAACTTGAGAAAATTCTGTTCAGGCAAGAGCAGACGGAAGATCGGGGGAGCAATGCAGGGGACCCTGGAAGGCAGAGAGAGAAAAGACCTCTCCAGGGAACAGTTCTGTCAGAGAGATGTTGGTTTATGCTCGTGACTGTCACTGCTGAGAAGGCAGTGACCTGGGTCTTTAGATCTTTCTCCTTGCATTGACCACTTCTTCTTCTTCTTCTTTTAAGATTTATTTATTTGTGCATATAGAACTGGGGTACAAACCAGAGATTCAGGGGTGGTGAGTAGGCTTCACCAGAGACAGAGTGGGGAGCCCAACAGGCAGATCGTTGAAGTACACTGCTGAGGGGAGCAGCGGGCGTCTGCCGTGCCATGTGGGTCACCCCCAGGTCTGGAGATTGAAATTGCACTGAAACAGCTGCAGCCAGCTTACAGTGCTGCATCCTAACCCGTTGCGCCACCAGGGAGGGCCTCATTGATCGTTTCTAAGAGGTGATCAGAATCCAGTTCTCTTGTTTGATCGGTTATGTCATTGTTCCTTTATAAAGTACAAGTGTAGTGTTGAATATGAATTATTTATTTGATTCTTAACTTATTTTTAAATATCTTCTTTTTAGTACCACAGACCATTTATCCAATTTTGTATTTTCTGTAATAGTTTACTTATAAATATAACTTAATGGAACTATACTGCACTAGAGTTTAGTCATTCATCCATTGAGCGAGATTGATGAAGCCCCTTTCCCTGGTGCTTACAGAACGTTCTGCACCCACAGGTGTCAAATGTAGGCCTGTTGGGTGCCAGGCACTGAGCAGAGGGCAGAGGCCCAGATATGAGACAGGTGTGCAGGATCTTACCTCTAGTGGTAAGTGTATGTGTGTGTGTGTTAGCTGTGGATTGTGGAGATTAATAGATGAGACAAAGAAAATAATTCCAGCTGCCGATGAGGATGAAGATGGAGTAAGTCCCAGTCCCTAGGAAGCTCGTGTTCCCTTTTCATTTGGTGGAAGCATGGGGCAAGACCACCTCCTCCAGTCGCTGACCCAGGGCTCCCCCTTCCCTTTTGCAGAAAAACAGTCCTCGAGCTGTCCATCTGCTGCCCCCTGCACAGGTACCTCAGCCCCTCCCAGCCCCGGGTGCCCTGGGCGCCTCCCCCGCCCGCCCTGACAGGGGCCCTGGCCTTGCAGACAGGGAGAAGCTGCGGCTGCGGGGCGGAGACGGCGCGTGCTCGGGCCGCGTGGAGGTGTGGCACGCGGGCGCCTGGGGCACGGTGTGCGACGACTCCTGGAGCCTGGCCGAGGCCCACGTGGTGTGCAGGCAGCTGGGCTGCGGCTCGGCGCTGGACGCCCCGCGGGCGGCGGCCTTTGGCGCTGGCAACGGCAGCATCTGGCTGGATGAGGTGCGCTGCAGGGGCGGGGAGCCCTCGCTGTGGGCCTGCCCTGCGGCTCCCTGGGGCCAGAGCGACTGCAAGCACGAGGAGGACGCGGGAGTGAGGTGCTCGGGTGAGTGGGCAGGGCCCTGGCTCTGGAGTGCGGGGAGGGGTTGAGTTTGCCCCGGAAGCTCTTTGTGGATTCACCTGCTGCTCTGGGCTTGGCACCTGGAGGCTGTGGCCTGATCCCCTGGGAGCTGGGGGAGAACAAGCAGCCAGCCAGCGTGTGACCCTGGGTCTTTCCCACATTGCTCAGTAGTTGATCCCTTCTCCCCTCTCTTCTCCCCAGGTGAGTGGTCAGCAGTCCTCCCCACCCATGGAAGTGTTTCTTCTTCTCTGAGTCACAGATAGAGACACATCCACATTTTCAGGGATCTGAACCTACATCTTTCTGGAAAATTAATGATATCAGTGCAGGACAGGCCCATGCTCAGGCGTTACAGCCCCATTAACTGTGACAGCTCTAACGCCTCAAAATTTTATCCATTTCATTTTATAAAAGTCCCTTAGAAAACAGATGCAGAAGACAGTTGCCTCAGCTCATGGCAGGATCTGTATGGACAGGTCAGGGTGCAGGCCCCGGCACTGTGTCTGGAGCTAGCTTCATGGACTGGTGGACTCATGGATGAGAAGACAAGGGTACGTGGGAGGGGCTCTCCTGGACCTATGGCCCTCTCTGAAGCCTCACCACCCTCTTCTGTCCTCAGACCCAGCTCCTGGCCCTGGCATCTTCTCCCTGCCATGGGTCCTCGGCATCACCTTGGGGCCACTTCTCTTCCTGGTCCTGGTCATCCTGGGCATTCAGCTGCACAGAGGGAGAGCAGAGCACAGAGGTGGGCTGTGGGGATAATGAAGGGAAGTGGTGGGAAGGCGGCTGAGCCAGTTATGATACCAAGTAAGTTGCTCAGCATTGTCTCTACCCTCACAAAAAGCACCTTTTCTACAGCAGCCTTCACGATTTGAGACAGCTGAATTCTTGCTTGGATATAAAACCACTCAAAAGTTATGATTTTCTATGGACCCGATGTCAGTGGGAACTGAATATAGGGTCCTAGTTGTACCACAGAAGCTGGCTCTGCCCCACAAACATCAGAAAGGGGCCCTGCCAGCCCAGCAGGGTTCCCCGAGGGATGGGGAGCCTGAAGAACCCATGGCCTTGCCTGTTAGTGTAGGGACTGTCTGCAGGGCAGCCTGTGAACTGCTACCACTTTTATAGCCTCACCTGCTTTCGAAGATGCCATCGATGAGGCCTTGTACCAGGAGATTGATTACTATACTATACCAGAAAAGGAGGACCCTCTGCATAGCCCAGGTGAGTCCCATTCCCTCCCCATTGCTCCTGAGCTGACCATGGGTTCTCTTCACAGGCACAGACCCACCTTCTCAGCCTCCTGCAAGACAAGAGCTCCCCAAGGCAGGAGCTCCCCCTCCTCCCCACACTACCCCTCCGAACTCTGAGGCCTTGAGATTTCTTCTGAATCTTGACACTGGGCCTCTTACTATGGCAAACGTTTCTGTCTGCGATGTGCTCCTCCCCTCCAGGACACCTGTCTGATGACTCAGTGACAAAGCTGTCCTGTTACACAGGGGACAGTGAGGTGAAGGGAGCCCCTGCATCTGCCCCAGGTAGCACAGACAGATTTTCCTTTGGTTGGTCTGGATGAGGAGGGGAAGAATCTCTGCTGTCATTTTCACAAAAACCAGTTGCTCTCTCTGCCCACTCTGTCACCTCAGAAAGGGAAAGATCAGACCCAAGTCTTCGTATCCACAGTTATTTCTAATCAGTTGCAGCCATGTGTCTAATTCTTATAGATTCAAAAGCCCATTTTTTCAGAAATACCTGAAACTGACATTCTGAGAATGTCCATGGTGAGCATTGGAAGTATGGGTTGCTATTGAGATAGTGTGGTATTTGTGGGTCATGGACATAGTATGGTACATTTGAGATCCCCAAAATTGATTTTGCTCAGCCCCAGATCACAGACTGCTGGTGCTTGTACTTACCAGCTACCAGCAACTCTTACTGACAAGGAACCTAGGAGAGGAGAATGTTTCTCCTGGATCTTCCCCAGATAGTGTTAACAGATAGCTCCTGAGATGAGACATGTCCAGAGGGTTAGAAATTGGATCCTTAGATCAAAACAGCCTTCAGTGGATTGAAACCCAGGCCCCCTTTGGTGGGGCCTGGTGAGATCACTATCTGTGAGTCAGAGGTACCCAGGTTCCTTCTCCTGCCTGTTCTGTGTTTCCTGCTGACTCAGAGCATGTGGGCAGGTGGGTTCTCCCTGTCCAGATTCCTTCCAAGAGTCTGATTTTTACTTACACATATGTTACAACTCTGTAGCATGTGCTTGACTGTAGTGCCTGGTTTCATATTACAATAGCTTTTGTTGATGATTTATAGTATGAGAGGCCATGTTAGGAAAGTATACTAGAATATTCAGAAGAATCAAATAATTTCTGAAAATATTGAGATAAAATATATTTTGATCTCAGGGCCCAGAGACAGCCCTGGAATCTAGAGCTTATATGTAAGAGCTGTTGGTATCTCTGCAGTAGGAGGGACTGAGACCCACAGCCAGCCTCAGCCTTGTCTATTTCCAGAGCCTCCGGGGCATCATGCCAGTGCCACAGGAGACTGTTATGATGACGTTGAAGAGCTTCCTGTTCCTGGAGAAATTCCTTCTTCCCCTGGAATGAGTGGGAACTATATTATTCCAGAAGAAGGTGGTGCTGGGGATTCCCAGCCAGGTGAGTGGTCAGCTCTGTCTCCAGTAGCCTCATTTCCTTGTTGGGGGGTTAGGGTTAGTAGTTTTCCTTTACTATCAAAGTCTGGGTGCCCTCTAGACCTGGATGAGGTGTCTCTGGGATCTTGTTTATTTCATCTCTTCTGAGAGAAGAAACATATTTTGTTCTCATGTCCATTTCCTCCATCATCTCCATGAGACATTCCTGAATGAGTGGCAGAGGTTTCATTCTGGTTTTTTCACACACCAGATTGAGGTATATAATCTGACAAAAAATTTTGGAACTTTTTGAAATTATGAAAGTAATTGGAAAGTTACATTCAATAGCATGTAAATTAAATTTGAAAGCTAGAAATTTTTTACTGAGTTAACCAAATATCCAGATGTTTACCTTTGGGGTTGAGTATTACTAATGGAGATGTTCAAAGGTCCTAATTGAAGTCATAAAATCTAAATTGTAGAATAAAAATAAGAGATAATTTTCTCACATTGTCTCCATTGACAGATGAAAACCCTCCTTCTAAAACTAGGCCTCTGCTTATGTGTGAGCATGTGAGGCCATGGGGTGCAGGAGGCCGTGGGATGCAGTTCAGCTGCTCCCTTTTGTTCTCTGACAGAGAACCCAGATTGCTCTCCTGAAGATTTCTGGGTATGGCTTTGGCTGGTATTGAGGTGATGAGGAATCTCAGGGAGTCACCTCCTGCCTCTGTACCTTATGGAATCAGGCCACATGGGTGAGAGAGTGCTCACTGTCTTCTCCACTCCTCTCCATCAGTCCAATGCCTTTCAGCAGTCACAAGCAAGACATGACAGCACAGAATGGCTGACTGGAAGAAACAGCTCTAGGCTTTCAGACAGTGGCTGGGCTTACAGATACTCTGTAGTTTCTGTGCCCTCAGCTCTTTCTACTAAAGGACTCTTTTTGTTACCACTGGAACCAGATTCTCCTTCATCTTGCAGGTCTCTCTCTGCCATCTCCTGGAGAAGCTGACATCTCTGGCATGGGAGGGAGAGGACTCCTTCTGGTCCTGACACAAGAAGACCTTGGGTATGATGATGTCGAGCTTAGCCCCATGTAGCAGCATTTTGGATCAAATAAATCTTCAACGATTCCACTGTAATAATTGTTGCCCTAATAAATGAGAATTCTGTCTTCTTGATTACTGCAGAATTTTTTTAATTATTATAAAGATTTATTTATTTGTGCATACAGAACTGGGGTACAGGCGAGAGGCTCAGGGGCGGTGAGAGGTTTCACCAGAAACAGAGTGGGGAGCAGAACAGGCCGACTGACGAAGTACACTGCTGAGGGGAGCAGCGGGCAGGCCAGGAGAGGTCTGCCGCACCATGTGGTCACCTCCGGGGAAGGCAGGAATCGAACTCATGCGGAAGTGGCTTCAGCTTCTTAGTGCTATGCTTTAACCCGCTGCGCCAACAGGGAGGGCCAACTGCAGAATTTTTACTTGAGCCTGTGATGAAAGTAAATCTTCATATTTAACACCCTGAGCTTTAAGGACAAGTGTTCTTAAGAATCCAGACACTCTTACTCCACTGACTGAAAAATTCAGTCTTCAGTCACACCCCTCCTCCAAGTGAAATCTCATGTATCATGTCCCTCATCCCACATTCTTGCTTCCTTATATGCAGAGAATGTCACCCTTTCTGAACAGTATAAAAGCCTGAAATCTGGCCTTTATACTAAGTTAAGCTAAGTTATTTATTCAGTAATATACCTTGAATGATATTTACTCAAAATCCTTAACTGAATACTCCAAAAAATGCCTCACCTCCTTTGCTAAGACCCAGAAGTGAGAGTCAAAGTGGATGGGATAATTCAGCCAGGAGGGAAAGGGCTGCAGTACTTCTGACTTTGCCAACAGGTTTATGGAATGTCAATGTCAAAACTCTACTCCTGACAATGGCCTTTCTCTTCTCTTTTAATCTCCAACGCCCCTACCTCCCCTTTCTCCATGAACATCCTGGTATTTATAAATCCCGATGGTCCAACCTTTTCCATTAACAACTCTTTCTATTCCCTGCTCTGAACACATTTAGTTTAGTCTATGACAATTGAACTTCACCATTATGAACCCTTTTACAGTAGCTGTATTTCTTTCCATTCCCAGTCATCCTCACCTATTTGCTTCAGTGGTATTCAGAGAGAGAAATGGGAGATTTTGGGGAAGTAGGGCTAGAGTGAGGCAAGATGCAAGTCAAACAAGGAAATTCTCCTGTCTGGAACATCTGGCTCATTAATCTATTACAGCAACATTTCAAAATAAGTCATCTGCAGGTCAGTACAGTGAATATTACAGCATTCTAATTTGAGAAGATTTTACCAACATTTGGGTCTTTTTAAAAGAAATACTTTCAGAATTAATAATGTCCATGAAATAATGGAAAAGTTTGCTAAAATGTACAAACTATATGTACAATTAGTTTTTTCAAATGCTCCCCAAGCACTACTTTAAATCAAACTTCAGAAAATACTGGGGCCTCCTTGGAGGCAAAAGGGGTTAAATCTCAGCACCATGAAGCTATGACTAACCACTGCAGCACAAGTTTGATCCCAGACTAGGGAGCTGACCCACATGGTGCAGCAGACTTCTCCTGTCTCACCTGCTGTTCCCCTCAGCAGTGTATTTCTGTAGTGTCTGGGGGAACAGGACATGTGAGTGGTGATGGCAAAGCTCAGGGGGTTCAGACTACTGCATATTAGTTACAGCAGGGATGCATCAGGGAAACTATCAGGACCCAGTTCATGTGGTCTCTGAATCATCAGAGGTCTGTGGCCACGCAAAGGTTCTCTATGAAGACCTGTGTCCTGCTCACCTGGCCAGCAGGGATTGACACAAGAATGAGAAGAATAATACAAAGGAAGGTGAGAATTTCTCCTTTCATAATTACCAGGTGTGAATTTGCAAGGATAAGGAGACAGGAGAGCAGATCCAACGTAAGTTCAGCTCCTCGTGACTGTCTGTCTGTTGGTGGTGGCCTTGACTTGTGTTGCCAAAACCCCACAGACACATTCATAGGAGCATCCTTCCAGCACAGTCTTCCCTTCCCACCATCCCATGGGCTTCTTTCCTGACAATGAGAATTTCCTTTGCCCATTGAAATGGCTGGAGTAGAACAGCTCATGGCTGCCACAATTTCTGAGTCTTAAGTCCAGCAGAGGAGCTTTATTTTTAAGGCCACTATATATCATAGTCCTTGTCCTTACTAAAATATGCTAAAATATGTTCACAGTGCATGTTACCTCCCCCAAATGCCTCATGAATTCTAAAATGGCACTATCTTTTTTTTTATTTTTTAAAAATGAGCCAACCACAATTTATGGAGACATCTAAGGTGTAAAGTGCTGAGACCAGGAAAATCTCTGAGTCATGGCTGTTAAGACTGGTCATGGCTAAAATATGGATCATCGTGTGTTGGAAGACTGGCCAGGTCAGGATATTCTTTCTTGTGGTAGGGGAACTATGCCTTGGAAACAAAGTATACTAGAAAAGAGAACAAAATAACCTGATAATGCTGAAACTTGTTGGTGAATATGTGCCAAAACAATGCTAAATACTAAGAAATTAAGAAATAAGCCATTGTCTTGTAACAAACTTAGGGGCTGCTTTAGGGGGTGCTCTATCTCAGTAACTGAGTTGCTCCTGGCACTCAGGTCCCTTGAACTCAGAATGAGAGGCCTCGTGTTCCCGAGAACTTACTTCTCTTAAATTCAATTTTCTGTCATTTCTTTATTTCCAAGTTCTTTCCACAACCCTGTTCACTGAAGCTGGGCTGCAGCAACCTTTTACATGAAGACAGCACAAAAATGTGACCAGAAGTACTTCCATTGTCGGATTTTGGCAATAAGCTCTATAAGCTCAAATTAGTCTACACATCTTTATGAACACATAGTGGTGAAATTGTTATGAAGCCAAAACAAAGAACGTTTCTTTCCTATCAAGACAATTGATAGCATTAAGGAAATGATGAGGTCAAAGTGATGCTATCAATATATCAGGTCACACAAATTTCCAGTAGACAGGGTGACAGACCCAGCAGAGCTCAGAATCATGCTACCCAGGACAGAGGTGAAAGGGCGCATCTCAACTACCCCCTCTCCCGTCTGGGTGACCCTCATCAATTCTACAGCTAAATCTCTCCCTCATCCATCCCAGAGGCAGAAGGAACCTCAGGCACTGGCACATCTTCAGCAGCATCATGTCCCTTGCTTGGGGCACTGAGCCCCTGAGCTGAGGGATTAAAGGGCAAAGGAGATAATCAGGTAAGAATCACAGTACTTGGGTGGCTAGGTAAACGTGAAATACCTGTTAACCTGAGTGTGATGGCTGCTAAACGTCACTCCATGTTGAAGGGGTCTTTTCCCAGGACAACATTTCATTTTGATGTACGTAAGCTAGAGAAATATCCACATCTCATTATTTCTATATTTAGAGTACCTACTTCCAAGATGTTTCTACATTAACAAGCATTACTAAACTAAATGACCAGATTACATTTCCCAGATACTGTACCTCTTAAGGCAATCTGTTATTGGACTCTTACTTCCATTTGCTCCACCTCAGGGCTCCCAATGCCTACAGGAAGGAGTTACTGCTTCTGAGCCTTACGTCATGCAGTCAGATGGGCCCTGATCCTGTCCCGCAGTGAGCAGAGACCGTGGCAGTGAAAGCCGCCCCCAGCCCAGCTGTCTGCACACCACGTGGGCATCACACGGTGCCCCAGGAGCCCTGGCGCAGGATCTCCACTCTGCCGGCGCAGCGATGGCCTCCGCCCACCAGGCGGAGCTGTGGGCTGTCTGAGGAGGGAGAGTCAGGTCAAGGGGGCAGGCAACCCAGTGGAGAAAGCTTTCCTGGCTCTGGGGGCCTGCACCTGAGCAGCAGCCGACAGCTTTCTCAGAGACTGCAGAGACTACTATTGGGGGGATAGGTTCTGCGTGCACAGGGGCAATACCTGGGTCTGGTTTCCTGCAGAGCAGCGAGGTAAGAGGTTAATGGGGCTGAAGAGCAGAAAACTGAATTAAACTGCGTGCTAACCTAGTGGTGGGGGCCGAGATGTAATGGGGGCAGTCATGGCATCGTATTTAGAGTTTACCTTCTTGTGGAGAGTTCTTTCTCTGGCAATGCTAGCGTTTCTGTTTTAAGCCAAACACTGAGAATGAGACTAGAGTAGTGGTCTAATCCAATAGTGTCTGAAAGTGTTGCAGAGCTCCCGTTGCAGTGAGGACTCTCAGACAGAAGCAAAGAGCAGGGCTGAGCCTCTGGCCCCTTGAGTTGTTGGTCAGCCAGTGTTAACACCCAGACACTGAAAGCCTCAAACATTTTGCCACCACACACTCAGCGAATATCTAATGTAATTCAGAGTCAGCCAAGGAGGAGGCGCTTGTTACCCAGGACCCTCCTACCACAGCACAGTGAACTGGGAGTGGGCTGTTCCTTACGGGCATGGAGGCCCAGCTTCTAGTCACCTCAGTTTCTTTCTTTCTTTTTAAAAAGATTTATTTAGTTAGCTATTTAGTTGATTTATTGATTTTATTTATTTATTTGTATGCATACAGAACTGGGGTACAGGCCAGAGGTGCTGGGTCAGGGGGCAGGGCATGAGAGGATTCACCAGAGACAGAGTGGGCAGCGGAACAGGCAGATCTACTGAAATACACTGCTGAGGGGAGCAGCAG